GGAGTTTTTGTTTGGGGGTGTTTTTGTTATTTTTGTTTCATTTTGGAGGATTTTTACTTCTAAGACTTCTATATAAAGTGAATGTTCCCTACTCTAAAACCAGCAGAAAAATCTCTTAGCCCCAGTGCTACCAATATGGCCTGCCAGCTCTCAGAGAAAACACATTTGTAGTAAAATGTAGTTCTCCATACAAAGCACAATGGTGTCATCTGAGCAAGGACAGCACAGCAGAGAATCGGGTGGGGAAAAGTCTCAGTAAGTTTAGAGACAGAGAAGGCAGTAAAAAAAGGGAGAGTTTTCTCCTTGGGACCAAGACAGGTTTTGACATGAAAATAAAGTGCTTAGAAAATACAGTCCTAGACTAGGACAGACCAGTCTTATAATTACTCCAGTGTTTTCCCTGAGTTCTTGCATGAATGCTGATACAAACTCTATTATGGTCAAACTAATATGTAGAGTATCAAATTACCAAATGCACTTACTTCAGCTGTGTGTGTTTCTATTGTACATGAGTATGTGTTACACTGGTATTGGTGCAGACACAAGTTATTTCTTTACCTGCCAGTTCTAAGAATGTGAAGGCACTCAAAAAGAGCAGGAATAAAAAGATGAGGTAGAGACAAGTAATGAAATAACTAATACTATTAGAGTGATATGTTCATATCACTTAGTCCAAAGCCCTTAATGAATACAATCTGTTTCTTCATCCTCATGTTACAGACTTCAAAGTTAGCAGTGGAATATAAAACAATAATACAAGAAATATTCACAAGCACAGTTACCAGCTCTCTTAGGTTTTCAGCCTGTGTCTTACAGGGTCCATAGGTCCTATCTGCATTTGGGGAAGAACAGTGCTCACTGCCTGATGCAATATGACTGCAGTTCTGCTTCTGTAGAGCTGGAGTATTTCTGCTGCCAACTTACACAAAGGCTGAAAAGTTTGTTCTGATTGAGCAAGACATTGCTGCAAGTTTTACAATCTCTATAAAGCAGAAGAGCAATCAGTCTGGTGTTTAAAATTAGGCAATTTCTTTATTAAATTAATTGTGGAGAAGCCTGTCTCTCCCCACCCAATCCCTTTCCGCCTTTGCAGATCTAATACCTACCAGTGCATTGCATTTAGTCACTATGGTAACCACTTAAAAATGACCAATGTCCATTGAATCAACTCAATAGCAGCCAGAAGGCAGAAATATTGGTTTTCTGAATAACCTGTTCCAAGTGTCGTCACTGGGGTCCTGCTCCTTCCAGATCATCGCCTTTCTTTATCACATGGCCTAAGCCTGACCATGATATTATTGCTCTCTTCTTTTCCTACTTTTCATCCTTTCCCCTTCTTCCCACCTTCTTTAACAGCAGGTTTCAAGTAACCATGGCAACAAGGCTAGGAATTTTATGCTTATTCGTTTCGTCTGAAATCTGGGTCATGTCTTTCTCATTAAGTGCAACTTGCATGGAGATAACTGGTTCAAACCCAGCCTTTGGTGCAAGAGAAGGCAGTGTCAGTTATGGCAGCACTTACATGCTGGCTGTATTTGGTCCATTGTATTAGAAAAATGTAAAGGTACAAAGTAAGCCACTTAAAATTTGGAAAGTATTTAATAATTCCAAACGCATTCAGTAGGTAACTTACTCAGAGGAGAACCACTGCTATAATTTGCTCTAATTGATGTTGATTTATAGGCTGATGGGAATAATTTCATAATCATGTTTCTAGTCCTATGGTATGTGTTAACTTAAAGGGTGCCTTCTCAGAGTGGTATCAAGTGATGTAAATTATATCAGTATCCTCTTTCAAGAGAAAATGTAGTGTGAAACCTTAAAGGTGTCTCCTGCCAGGAAAAGATATTAATCTCCTCTAATCTGTCACTGCAGTTGGACTCTGACTGGATCTGAGATCACAGTTTCAGGACAGAAAGATCTCCAGATTTTAAGTTGTTTCAGTGCCAAGGGAGTAGCCAGATTATCTCAAATGTTCGTATCTTGCAGATTCAGACATACCACATCTCCTTGCCCCTAGGATGACTTAAAATCTTAAAACAATTGCTGTGTTTGTTCACGGGGAAGCCATGCAAAGCAATGATTATAAGGTATTTTTGTACACACTTGATTCTATGGGTCATCTGCAAGCAAAACAGAAAGCCAGCAGTGTGATAAGTAACCTATCTGTTACTTTGTGTGTCTTATACTGTAACTTGGTAAACATCAGCATCAGCTCTCAGCCAGATTACTGTTAGTAACAGGAAAGGTTCAAACATTTGACAGGGTTTCCAATAGTGTATCAGCTGACCAAGCATCTGCACTACCTGATCTGAGTGTATGATGATGCCACACAGAGAACAGCTCACAAGGCTGCTTGGTACTTCCTTGCAAATGTGTTGTTTTGGCCAGAGTGAGCCAATAAAGGCTTTTACCTTTCCCTCCAAAGCTTTGCAATAGCTCATAGTGTTCCTGTGAGTCACACACACATCTGGCTACTACCAGGTGCCTGCCAAGCACACTGGGAAGTAGCTCATCTGTAGCTGGTTTTTGTATGCCTCAGTTTTCTAGATCAGAGACCCATGAGAGGTTATTTTGTGTCCCTAGAGAAGTGATGACTGGATCTGGAAAGGTTTGAGTCACAGGAGGAACAATTACCATGAAGCTGGATGAAGCCACCATGTGGCTTGTGACTTAGGCTGATCTGCAGACAAATTAGAAGAGATGGGTATCCTGAACTGAGGTGTAAGAAATGAGATAGCTTTTTCAGCTTTTGTTTTCTTTTTTTTGGACTACCACTACCTGTCGCTGTCAGCAATGCAGGCTTGTTGGAAGATGTTCACAGTTGCATTTTCAGACACATAAGATCTTTTCAAAATATACAAAAGGCATTCATCTTAAGCTCCCTTCCCTTCAGAGGCCTTCAGAAGGTGCTGCTTTGTGTGATGTGAGATGTTTGCACCACACAGCAGGATTGAGGTGGGGTCTCTTCAAGTGGAATAGGCAAGGCCCCAGAGCAGCTCTACATTTCATTTTCTACCATGCTCCCAGTAGGTCTCTGTAGGACCACTTGTTTAACATTTCTTATAACACCTGATCTTAACCTTTCAGCAGTATTCATTTAAACATCCCATTTCCAAAGGTAAAGAATGCAAGGGTGGGGAGGAATACAGGACATTAGAGCCCTACATTATGACCAGAGCAATCACAGAGCTGTTATTTTTGCCGAATATGTATTTACAGGTTCACAGCTGTAACAGCAACAAGACTGAAGCATACAGACACTGCTATATGTACATTAAAAGTATGTCACAACTGCATCAGTAAGTTGGCTGAATTCATGCATTTTTCAGGAAGACAACATTACCTAGCAGATTTTCTGGTTAGCTTCAAATTAGATGCAGATACGTGCAAACCAGTAAGGTCAAGAGTCAATGAAACTTATAAGCAAACTACACCATCCCTTACAAACAGAGAAACTAAGGCTTGCAAATCCGTAACACTGTCATCATAAAAACAGAAAATATCTTCAGATGTGGTAGGTTTGTGATCTAAAGGCATAATGATACTTTGTACCAGCTATTTTGACTTGTGCTAGCAAAAGAATTTTACCTTTTTAGAAAAACAGAGTAATTTTCTGATCCTGCTGCCTTATCAGCCAAAGTTCATCAGCACAGAAACACTGAACAACACAGGCCTTCCAAACTGGCTCTTTTTTCATGGCAAGGTAATGACTGTCTCATGGTATTTCATGACAGCACAGAGAATTAAGAATTTCTGTTGAGCAGAGAAATAGAAAAAATATATTTGGGGTGACTATGACAACCTTCTGCTCAAGAAAATAGCAAGGAAACAAAAAACACCCTTTGCCTCATTCAGGAGTGAAACAGCTGTGGGTTGCAGGCAGGCTGCACAGCCCAGGCAGCTGCAGGTGGGAAAGAGGGGACAGCAGTAGAATTCAAGTTGGATGCCCCACACTGCCCAGTTGTGCACTGCTCTTCTCTGTGCACTTGTTCACACAGAAACAAAAGAACAGCTTCAGCTTGCCCTCTGCCAGGTGCTTACCTGCCTGTACTCGCTATACTACCAGAAAGTCATTAGTAATCCAAGGCACAGCCAACGACTCCTGCCTAAAGTCATGCAGACCAGAAGGCTAGACTCAAGATTTAAATTTGCTGCATCTGTCCATATCTATCTATAAATTGGGAGGGGGGAAAAAACCAAAGAGAACTTTCTTGGTCTTATATTTTGGTCTCACTTATGCTTTGGAATTAAAACACTTCTGTAACAAATAATTTTGTACAATTTTGGGGGCCACTAAGAAAGATCATTTGTGCACATTCAGACACACCCTCATATACCTTTTCCATTCTTTCTCCCATTTCTCCTCCCTTTCTTGCAGGGTCGTAGTTTTGTTGTTCCCTTACACACTTGTCCTCCTTGCAGAGGTCCTCACAAGGTATGGGCAATGCTGCCTGGCTCAAGTGACATTCTGTGGTTCTTTGGTTACTTTCACCCTTTCACCCAGACATGTCTGCAAGTGTTTCTTCCATTATTAATTTCAGCCTTGACTTAAAGCTTCCTGAGATGCTAATGGCCTGTTATCAGGCTGGAAAGGTACAGTTTGTGTCCAAGGGTTTCACCTAAAAGCCAAGGTAGAAGGCACACAGGAAACTTCCCAAGTGTGTGTGGGAAGGGAAGGTTTCTCTCCTAAGGGCCTCACTGGAGGCTCTGCTCTGCCCTGGCTCTTCTCAAGTTTCATTCACACAGCAGCATGTTACACAGCCCTTATCACCCATCTCCCTCTCCTGTCCCAGTCCACACTGCTGCCTGTTGTCACTTTGCATGTGACACCTCGATCTTTCCCTCCAGTAACCAACCTCTTTCCCCCTGCAAACGAGTCAGGCCAGTGCTGAGGTGTTGGTCCAAAAGCAGACACACACATACAGAAACTGCCCCAAAGGACACACAGGGTCAGCGTCTGAACAAAGCAGGACAGGGAAGACTTACAAGGAATGACCAGGCTTGAACGGGGCAGATGGAGAATGGAGTGTTGCGGGGAACGCGCAGGCAAAGCTAAGACACAGAGCAGCGTGATGGACTCTGCCCCACCCCTTCCTACAGGGGCAGAGCTTAACAGCACCACACTGGAAATCTCTAGAGAAAGGTGTTCACACCTAATCCCATTTCTCCCTACCGCACCCATTCTAACTGGAAAAACACCTGGCTTGCTAACAAGTGGGCGCTGGACGCCTCAGGCACCCCCAATTCAAGGAGGGACGAAGGTGCTGGCGCTGCGGTTCGCAGCCTGCCTACCGGCTGGCAGTGAGTGACCAAAGGCCCGGCCCGTCTGCACTGTGCCCGTGAACAGCCAGGCCAAGCCGGACTCCGCCGGCTGCTCGGAACCACACTGTTCTCCAGGGCCATCCTAGAGCACACGGCACAGGATCGCATCCAGATGGTTCTTGGACACATCCACTGAGGGAGATTACACAACCTCTCGGGATAATCTGTTCCAGTGCTAGGTCACCTGCATAGAAAAGACGTTCTCCCCCGTATTCAACTGGAACTTCCTGTGCATCATTTGAAGAGCTGTTCGGTGGTGCCAAGCAAAAGGACCACAAGCAACGGGCAGAAACTGATACTAAGGAAGTTGCACCTGTACGAGTGTCCCAACGCGGTACTACCGGAGCCCTACGCACCCGCGGTGCTGTGTTCTATCTCCTGTGCTCATCGCGTTCATGCAAATCACGTTGCCGTGCGAAGGCCGATTCCGCGGGCGGCGATGAAGGCGGGGTCAGGCTGAAGAAGCCTTTCTTCCTCCCCGGTGCCTCCAGCCAGGGCTGCACCGGGTGTCCCTGCCGCATCCGCACACACGGCTAGGCGCCGCAGCCAACGCAGTCACGTGGGAGGCCGCGGCAGCGGACGGGACTGCGCAGGCGCGGCCCCGCCACCGCCTCGGGGCGCGCGTCACTTTCCGGCTGGACCGGCGGCCCGCGGCCCCATCGTGTGCCATCCCGACCCCCGGCGCGGGCCTGCTCAGGGAGGGCCGGCATGGAGAAGCTGCGGCGGGTGCTGGCCGGGCAGGACGATGAGGAGCAGGGACTGACGGCGCAGGTACGGCCTGGCAAGAGCCCGCTCTCCCTTCCTCCGCCCTCCCCGGCGCGGGTCGAGCGGCGCTTGAGCCTCCCCGCGCCGGGCCCGGCCCGGGATTTGTGGCTCGGGCGCTGCCGTGTTCACCGCGCCGCCTTCCCCCGTCCCTGGCCTGCGCACACGTGCACCCCACTTCCCGGTGCCTGCCCGACCGTGTCAGAGTGGGGCAGAGGTCGGGAGAGGCAAAGGACAGACCGAAGTTTGCGGCGTGCGCCGAGGGACGAGCGTTGTGGGCAGCAGGCTCTGCCTGGAGGATGAATTTTGGCGAATTACTCCTGTGTGAAGCTTTTGGCTGTGTTGGTGGCTTGGGGTCCTTCAGTTTCTACAAGTTTTTCCTGTGCTTAAGCAGGGGGCAGATAACATACTATGCTCCTTCCCGACCCGATTGAGTCTGCGATACAGTGTAAATTGTTTCTCCATTCCCTTATGGCCTTAAATTTGCAGAAACAAAGGTTTTGTATACATTCTGCTGAAGTTACTTTTTGCTCCTTACTCCTTAAGTATGGCTTAATTGTTCTATTTCCTTCCCACTATCTTCCTCATCGTCAGAGGATTTTTTTATTTCCTTGTTACTGTGTTTGTAGACCATACATTCCTGAGAACAAATCTCTAGGTCGAAGCAAAGCTGAGCATGCTTACAAAGAACCATTTATTCCTTTAGCTCCTTCTTTACTCATGTAACTGCAGATCAAAACACCCCACATCAAGGAATATCTTGCTTGCTACCTCCAGGGTGCTGGAGCATGGTGGAGGCTGAAATGTAGCTGGGATCTGAGCTGTGGCTAACAAACCTTGGGGAAGCAGCACAAACTGAGCACAGCTGGCATGATATTAGTTCTAGCAGCTTGCTGCTGGTATGCTTCACTTGATTTTGCGCTGAGTTGCCATTGGTCTTCAAGGTTCATGAATTTGGCCTCTGCCACAGCAAAGCATCTAAATTGTGTCCACTGATTCTGGAAGTAGTGTAGAATCTTTGCCCTTTCACACCAGAACTGGCTGCCAGCATTTGGGAGGGATGCTTCACCTTCTGCTCCTCTCAGGATTACCAAAGAAATACTTTCATTTCTGTTGATCTCAGTTCAGTTCCATGAGAATTGATTATTCTACCATCACTAGGCACATTTCACTCAAGGCACATGATAGTGACATAGAGTTGTCCTTTATTTGGGGCTGTGATAGTTGTTTTAAGGTGGCAATCAGTAGATAAATGCCTACATATTTAATGCTCTTATATTTGAATTTTATATCCTGAGGAGAGAACTGAGCTAAAAAGGTGTTTAATTTGTTAAATGTCAGTAATTAAACTATATAGGATTTCACTATTGCATGTAATGATACTGTTATAGCCAGAAAAGACTTCAAATAAGAAAAATCTGCCTGTCCCGTACATGATAGAATAAAACTTATAAATGTGTCTTTGGAGTGTCATGCTGAGATGAACCAGAAAGATCATTAAAATAGATAAATACCCCTTGTCTTAAAAAAAAAAAAAAAAAAAAAAATTAAGTGTTTAGGTCAGGCAGTTTCTCAGTTGTATTTTTTCTCTCAAGGTAGCAATGTGTTTGTAGAACAGCCTCTTTTTAGAGAGAAAATTCATGCATGACATTCACTAAAGCTAGAGCTAAGTGGTGCTGATTATTTTTAAAGTACATGTATTAGAGCAAAAAAAGTGTGCACCCATGCAGAGAGGAACGCTTGGTAAGAGGTGGGGCTGTGAAAGAAAGTGTGAGGTTATGCATTGTGTGTGTAAAAAATCTTCAGCTGTTTCCATGATCTTTCTGGAGATGAGTCATATGTTTGGCTGAAAACAAAGGCCCTCTCTTTGGAATATCTGATAGTTGTGTAATAGCCATCATATGGCTATTATATATACATATGGTTATATATATTATTATATTTAGCTAATTATATATACATATTATAGGTACATATATATACACATATATACATATATTATATATACATATATATTACATATGGTTTATATCCGTAGATTTCTCTGGATTCTTTCCCTTGGTTTTTGCAGAACCATTACCATGAAGTCACAAGTCATTCCTGCTAAAAAGAAGACAAGTCTATAATGAAAGAACTGTGTGATGATTCAGGGAAGTCTTTCTGTACTTTCTAAGCTCTTCAGATGACCAGCTGTTGTTTCTTGCTGCAATTAGATCCATTATTCTAAATATAATTAAAAAAATAAATTCCTTACCAAAAAGATCAACAATAAATAATAAATGTAGCAGTGCTATGATGCTTTCAGGGCAGCATTATGCTGTTTAGTTTTATCAACACCAAAACTAATGTAAAATCAGTCCATATGACACATTGGATGTTGCATGACAGCTGCTTAAAGCACTCAATAAGATTTCAACAGAGGAATAGACCAGGTATTTCTTATATTTTTTTAAGAATTTGTAGATTACATTTCTTATATTACGTATCTTATATTTCGTTTCTTATGTTACACTTCTTGTATTTTAATCTCAACTGGTGATAGAAATACATATAAGGAGGCCTGTTCAGGAAAGATGAGAATATATTTCTATACATATTGTTTTGCTACAGTTTAGAAACTCAATTCTGCAAATTTACTCAACGTTTCTTTGCATTTTCTCCATTACTTGCATATTTACCATTGAGAGAAGATGTAATTTTTAATTACATCTAGACTAGTGAAAATAAAGTGGTTCTGTTTTTCTGTTTGCTCATGTGAAAAACTGATATAAGATTATTAATATATGGGGGGAGCCTAGGTGGATATTCAGAGCCACAATAACTATTTTTGATCAAAAGCAGCCTTGTGGATTATCATTTATGTTATTTCTTGTGTGTCCAGTGCAAACTCTTCAGCAGTGATGCTGTTATTGCAAGCCTGTTTCTTATCTTTCAGACAGTCTCCATTCCAGATTCCGGTTTCCACTTGGGTGTTCCTCTTGATTTTTGGATGTTTTGTTCATTTCTTTCATATACTATTAGCTTGAAATAGCCTGTGAATAAAAAGCTTCTTGCCCAGGAGTTTGGCATTAAAGTTCAGCAATAGAAAACCAAGGATTTCCTTTTGTTGATTTCAGTTTAATTTTTCTTCTTAGAAACAAGTGATAAGCAGTACAGCAAGAAGGGTATGTTTTACAGGAGCTCCCTTGCCACCACTACTGTTCTCCACCCGAACCACGGATGTGGAATGTGCCTGGAAATTTTTTCAGTCTCCTAAGTAAAAGCTTTTGCTAATCCAAATACCGTAGACTGCAATGACAACTCTTTTTATCTGAAATCTGGGATTAGCTGTATAATTTATGTCAGACACACAAAAAGAATCTTTAGCGCCTTTGTGTTGTGTTTCCTGCTTTTGTTGCAAGGGCAGCTTAGACTTTCTTTTTCTTAGGGTTCATAATCTCTGTTACCTCAGGGCGTCCCATGGTCCCTAGTATTGAAATTACTGCCTGCAGCACGTGTGGCAGGGTTCCTGCACTGTCAGGTCCTCAGCTTCTAGAGTGAGCCTGGCATTTGAGCACAAGCTGGTGTCTGTGGTTTACACAGCTGAACTGTGTATCTGTAACTCAACTTTTGCAGCAAGGTGCTTCTCTGCAGTGGTCAAACAGGCGTCTTGGAAAGGCAATGAGTTCCATTGCTTCCATGAAACCCAAAAGGTATAAATTGTAGAATATTCTGACTTGGAAGAAACCCACCAGGATTATAGAGTCCAGTTCCTGGCTCTGCACAGCACCATCCCCAAGAATCGCACTGTGTGCCTGAAAGCATTGTCCAAATGCTTCCTGAACTCTCTCAGGCTTGTGCTGTGACCACTTCCCTGGGAGCCTATTCCAGTGCCTAGCCACCCTCTGGGTGAAAAGCCTTTTTCTAATATCCAGCCTAAACCTCCTTTTACAGCTTTAGCTGTTCCCTCATGTCATGTCTCTGGTCACCACAGAGTGTCTCCTGCTCTGCTTCCTCTCATAAGGAAGCTGTAGACTGCAATGAGGTCTCCCCTCCATCCCCTTAAATATTAGGGACTAAGAAAATGCATTACCAGATCCCCAGTTTCAGGATTTCAAACTGTATTGAATAGGTTGAGCTTGACAACATAAATGGTGACACCATTGGGAATGGTTGGAAGGATGAGCCTTCATTTCAATATCATTTAATGGATTTAGTCTTATTATTACACAGAATGCTCTGGCAGCCCTCATGCCACAGCTTATCTTCATGTGCATATATTGTCAACCAGGTTTTAAGAGCTAAATCCATAAAATGCATCAAACTTTTGGGGGTTTGTAGTATTTTTTGCTCCAAACCTTTGTGTGGTTCTCTTATTTCTTATGCTGGATTTTTTTTTTCACCTCTTAACTGTTAGGAATTTCACTGAAGATAAAGCTGTTTTCAAATTTATTTGAAGAATGAAATCTCCTGGTAGTCACTTCAGGAGCACTGTCAGATAATAAGATTAGAAGAGCAGTAAGTGGAGCAATGAGCCTGATGCACCTGAATAAAGGATTTATCTTTCCTTCCTCCTGTTTTCTAGGCAATCTGAAATGTGTGTGTTGGGTTTACTGATATTATTTGCTTAGCTATGCTTCATTTTTGAATGCAGACGGAAAGGATTTTTACTCTTTATGTGTATGTGTGCTTATGATTAGTTGCGTAAATAGGTGTAACTAAAGGCATGATTGAAATGGGTATCTTCAGCTGTGTGCTACCAGCTCTTCCTACTCTTCTTAAAAATGCAGGCATTTAGGACTCTGACTGTCAAATATGATTTAAAATACTAAACCATTGTTCAGTTATTGTTTTTGTCTGTTTTTTAATGCATACATAAGGATAAAGTGTTGGACCTAGCAAGGTAAGCTGCATCTTCTGACGTTTGGAAAATTCTGTCCTCACAGCACCTTTATGTGTGTGTGCATGTTGCAGTTTTTTATTAAACTAGATGCAGATTCCTCATTTGTACAAATGTGAAAATGTTCTAAGCAGTAATCACATTTCCTTGGTTAGCTTACCACTGCCTGAAAGAGAAATTTCTCAGGAGATAAAGAGAAATATCAGACTCATTGGCTGAGGAAGGTATATCATGTATATTTGGTTAATAAGTCTTGATTAAAATACCTGTTGACTAAATAACAGGAGAGCAAGTTTGCCTGTGACACCTGTACAAACAGGAAAGTTGTTTATTTAAAGTAATTTTAGGTAAGCTGAAGCAACACTTCACTTAATAGGCCAGTTTAGAACAGAAAGTGCATTTAATTGTAGTGATCTGGAGTAAGATAAAATGCATTGTTCTTACAGCATGGGTGGAGATGAGCTATCTAGCAAATCACTTCTGCTGAAAGGGACCTTTCTGCCAGATACATGGCCCTGCCTCTTTCCTTACATCAGCCCTGCTGCTTTTCTGACAGCTTGCAGAGCTGGCTTGCCTCGTTAGCCAAGTCATCAGAATAGAAGGAACATAAATTCTGTTCTCATGTCAGGAGTTGTGTCAGGTAGCTCAGGTTCTGGAGTCACTCTGGAGGAGCAGGAAGTGAAATATTCCCTTTCAGCAAGTTAGCTTAGTCTGATGAGACAAACTGTGTTAATTTGCCAATTACCTTCAGGAAGGTAATTGGAAGAGAAATTGGAGTTGTAATGCTTGCAGTGGATACTGGCATTAATATGTGCAACGGATCCTCTCTACTAACAGGAAAAGGTGGTAATATCTATAGGAACCTAGAGTGTTGCATAAATGGATTAATTCCTTTGAAAATTGTTGGCAGGTCCATTCATTCTTTTGGTTTGGTACAACTGTGACTATTTTCAGTTGTGTGGTGATTAAAAAATCTGTTTGAAAGTGAAGCAGCATTGCTTTCGTGCCAGGATATACCTTTATGGGTTTTGTATTTTTTTGTTTGTAAATATGTTTCCATATGTTCCAGATTGATAATATGATTTTGTAATATGAAAGAATTAATACACAAACAACTGTTAAGCAAGGTAAAATAATTATTTCCAGCTAAAAATTATTTTGTTTGAAATTAAGGACTTCAGTGGTAAAGAAAGAAAGTCCTTTAGATTGTTCTAAACTGGGTTTGTAATATCCTCTTTTTCCTCTCTTCTTATGAAGGTCCTTGATGCTTCAACACTCAGCTTTGGTACTCGAATCAGATGGTTTGCCATATGCTTTGTTGCTGGCATTTTATGTTCTTTTCTTGTAAGTAAAGTTATTTTTTTCCTTGGGCTTTATTATTGTTCTACAGTTAAACCTCATTCATATTCCTCTTTTATGTGCGATTCTGCATTCTAAATTTTGCATTCTAAATTTTGTGTGCTTTATTTAACTGGACATTAAATGTATAATTGGCTGTTGACCTCTAAATTATGATTTTGGCCATTTTTCTTCCAGTTACAAAAGTATGCATTTTTACTGTAGCATAATACATTTTCTTATTAAAAGGTTTGAACACTGCCAAAATATGCTGATAGAGGTGTGTACCCATCTGATTTACCCATCTCCAATAAAAGGAAAAAAGAAGGGGGACGCTTGAAAGGTTTTTAAAGGCTGAAGAAACTACAAGTGTAGCATGTCACACTCAACAAATTAATGGATGTGGTTATGTGTTGACACTTGAAAAACCTGCTGCACTCCTGGTGGTTTTACAGTCAGCAAATCATGTGTTCATTCCTGAACTTTAGGGGCTGGCAGGAGTCTTCAGCCCGCAGTTAAGAGTTGAGATCTATTAATTTCTTGGCTCTGTCAAAATCTGACACAGGTAACTTGCACAAGAAGGCAGTTTTGGGGGTTTTTTTTCAGCTGCATGGAAACTCCCAGAAACAGCTGAAAAAACATTGGGGAAGTCCTCTCCTTTTCCTCCTTCTCTGTCCTTTTTCCTTCCCCCCGCCCCCCTTTCTTCCTCCCTCTTTTCCTTTCACCACAGATTTCCACTGAAATTGCAATTGAGTAGAATGCAGTTGCTTTTTTGTTGGTGTTTTTTTCAGGACACTGTTTTTCTTCTAGTGGAGGCTTTCTTTAGGCTCTGACAGGCTGAGAAAGTTTGGTCTGTACAGCCTGGAGAAGAGAAGATTGTGTGGAAACCTCACGGTATCCTTCCAGTATCTGAAGGGGGTCTACAGAGAGGCCAGGAAGGGGCTTTTTGTTAGGAGGTGTAGTGATAGGGCAAGGAGTAATGGGTACAAATTGAGAACAGGGATATTTAGGTTAGATATAAGGAAGAAATTCTTTATTGTGAGGCACTAGAACAGCTTGTCCAGAGAAGTTGTGGATGCCCTATCCCTGGCACTGTTCAAAGCCAGGCTGAATGGGGCTTTGAGCAGCCTGGTCTAGTGGGAGATGCCCCAGCCCATGGCAGTGGTAGTTGCATCTAGGTGATCTTTAAGGTCCCTTTTTTATGATTCCTTTTCTCCCTGATCATCCTAGGGAGCTGTGATCAGCAGAAGGCTTTGGATTTTTTTTTTAAGTTCGGTGGAAAGAAGCGATATCTGGAAGTAAGAGTTCTAAAATGTTTTTGTTCAGCCTCAGAGTGTATTTAGGCTGCAAATCTAAATTGTTGATTGGAGGAGAAAGGAGATGGTGAATATTAGTGCAGCTCTATGACATTTTATCTTGTGTGCAGAGGTGTAGGATGTACAGTGGGGCATTTTAACAAAAGTGGAAGTGATGTGAAATAGGATATAAACAGTGCAAATAAATGTGTTCAGTAATATAAACAAACTGCCTAGTTGTAAAAATATCCAGAAATCCAGTGAACCAGCACATTGTTTGCCAGCAGGTGGCAATAGAAGTGTGCTGGGTAGTGACTGCTGCAACTCTGAGAACAGTGTGCTCTGCTAGTGTATGTCAGAAATGTTCTTCATAGTATGAAGTTGTATTTATAGACTATAAAATCTAAATAAATTGAATTAACTAATTGCAAACATGCCAATAACCTGTCTTTTATAGGGAACAGCATTGCTATGGCTCCCAAAGGGGATTAAACTTTTTGCAGTGTTCTATACCCTGGGAAATATTGCTGCTCTTGCCAGGTATGATTTCTTAGTTATTGCTTTTAGAAAAGTACCCTCCTTTTCAGCTACATTTCCATTTGCTTTTACTCTAGAGTGCTGTCTATATTGTGTGTAAACAACATTGTTTTATATTGAATGCTAATAACAAAAACTTGTTTGTTTTACACTTTTGTTGTTTATCAGTTACCTTACACAACTGTTTGTGGGCACATCACAGCTGGTATCTGAAGTATGAATAACAAATTGATAGCTGAATGTTTTGTACTTTTTACATGTCAGTCCTTCTGCCAGATACAGAAGTACCTCAGCTTCAGGAGCAAACTGGTAGTCTGCCCTCTGTGTGGATACTTAGTTACTGGAAGGAGCTTTTGCTTTTAATGGAGAGATCATACTGTTTCCAAGAAAACTTTCGAAAAGGAAACATTCAGGAAATCCTTGTTTTGACTGTAAGGTTGAAGGCAGAATCTAAAATTTGTTCATAGTGTATTTTTAAACTCTCTGATTTTTTGAAATGTTCCCAATAACAGTCCTAAAAGATTTGCCTCTAAAAGGGACCCTCTTGAGACTGAAAACTTTGCTTTCACAGTTTGAAAGACACATAAGAAACAAGTTAATGTCCCTAAGGTATTTTCAATTTCTGTTTTTCCTCCTTCTCTTATTATTTTAGTGTGGTTGAGGCATGGTCATGGGACTCAAACGCCATGGAGGCTGGGCTTGACTTCCATGGACTCTGACTTCAGTCAAGCAACTCATCTTTTGAGTCAAAGCTTCGTTAATCTGTTAGAACTCATGTAATGTGGCAATAACATTTGAGAAACATGAAGATACTGCTTTTCCTCAACAAATTTGTTAGGAGACAATAATGTCTATACTGACACTGAGTCTCAATTGTGGAACTATTCCATCTCTTACTAAAACAAGACAAACAGTTAATACTGGAGATAGTCAAAGCTAAGTTTTTGCCTTTCTCTCACTTATCATACTCTTTATTCTTTGTTGTTGATTTCGAGTGAGGTTTTTTCCTGGTGCTTTGAGTGTGTTTTCATTTCTTCAAATTAAATGAGCATTTTAGAAACGTAGTACTAATCAAGTCTAGTTGAGTTAAGAGGAAAGTTTTTACAGACTAGTATTTCTTTAAGGAGAATGCTAAAAAACTTTAGTCTGCACTCCAGCTAAAATTAGAAGAAAAAAGAGGCCCATTTTTCCTTCACTAGTCCTTTTGGATATAAGAAACAGGCAACTGTGTTCTAAGAACAGTAGGAGATGACAAGGAAGTCCCAAATTAACAAGCAGATTTAAACTTTTCCAGGCTTCTTTGCAAGACTGCCTTTAAACCAAAATGCAGTTACCACTCTTACTAGCCTGTTTAGTCCCCTCTAACTTGTTTTTACTATTGTTTTCTAACGATGAACATTAAAACAATGATACTTACTTTATTGTTCTCAGGGATCATGAATGTGTCTCTACAGAATGTTGTATATAAAATAATTATTCTGTTTAACTGAAGGATGTCTAGACTTTTTCTCCAACATTTCTTTCTGCTCTGTATGGGATCTCTTCTCGTCTCTGGAGCAGCTCTTGTGATGTCAAGTCTTCTCAATATGAATCAGATTACAAACAACGCATTTTTCTTTCTATATTTTTTCTGCCTATTTTATGTGGCCAAAATGTAATTCCTTTTTACCACTGTATTTTTCTCACCCCTGTCCTTCCACTCACTAACTAATATTTTCTTCTAGTTCTTCATGTCTTTTTTTTTTGTCTTGGTTTAATTTTATGGCTCAGCAGACAAGATGAAAAAATACTGAGAAAAAAATTAGTTTGGCTTGCAGTGAATATAAAATTTTCTTTTTCTGTTGAATTTTGAAAACTTTTTTTCATGTAATATGGACATTTGAAGTCTGTCTGCATAAGATTAAAAAAGTGAGGGAGATACATGTGCAAGGTTGCTGGTAGGAAAACATTTGGATGTAGAAGATTAAGTTGTATTTGCTACCTGGAATGTGGATTCCCATATTTCTTCTGTCATAGAAGGCTTATGATTGGTTTCAGGAAGAAGCTCTATCAAACTCTTCCCTGCTTTATTTAATATAAAAAGGAGTTAGACTAGGTTTTCTGCTCTGTAGTAAAGCATTCACACCACCACAAGACTACAGGCATTGAACTCTCATTAAATTGTGTTTTCTGCAAAGCAGAATGACAAGGAAGAAAGAGGCTCATCTCAAATATTTAAAGCCAGAGAAATACTCCTGAGGTTGTGAACTCTTAGTACAGATGGCATTTCTTTGCATAAAAAGCTACAGCATGTGGTTTTCATTCTCCCTTCAAGTTAACTACAGAGTAGAAAAAAGCAGGAGGATTGATACAAACTACTGAACTTTTTCTGCCTTTTTTCTTGCTGAGTTGGACTAAAAGAGGTAGAAAATCTTGATTGTAGCTACTTGCATTCTGCCTGGGTTAAAATATGTATTATTAAACAAAAATTTTCTACAGCAGGTTGTAATCTTGACATTATTTTAGCAAGTCAGTTATAACAGCTTCAACACAAAATTCACTAGACTTCAACTTGATAATTCTACTACACTTATAATGTTTTGTTTTGGTAATGTAAAAAGCTCTAACCACTATATTTATTCCCATTACCTTTCCTGAAATCTTGGATATGATCTCATTTACTTCTGCAGTTGAGTTTTCTCATCTTTTTTTTCTTCTTCTGTCTGTTATGGTGCTTGCCATCTTAAAATAACAATCAAAACATCTTTGACCACCCACCCATTTCTAAATTCATGTAGAGCTACTTATAGTTCAATCTCCCCTCATTTAGTATCTCTTAACATGATTTAAATTTAACTGTAACTGCACTGCTTTTTTAATAGTCTTTATTTATAAATGGCATTCAGCACCATCAAACAGATTATTAGTCGAAATGTGTTTTTTCTTATTTGATGAAAGAGTTCATGGAAACTGATTTGCTTCTATGCTCTTCTGTTATTTCCTGTATATCCTTGTTACCCTCTGTCCTCTCTTATCTCAGCCAATATAAGTGTTCTTGTATTTGCCTGTTACTTTTTTTTCATTATGGTAATATTTTGGAAAGAATTTCGTGACCAAGGGTGACTCATAAACTGTTTCCAGGGCTAAATTCATGGAGTATTTCACCTTCTGTTCTAGTTAGTCTCTGTTGCTAAGCACAGAAATATCTTTTTTTTAAAGCCTTTGCAGTCATCTGTCTGTTGGAAAGCTGGTTAATTACCTACTGTCTTTTAGAAAGAGTTATTTCAAAGTAATTTACAATTTGTTTTGGTTTTTTTATCGCCTATTAGTACGTGTTTCCTGATGGGGCCACTGAAGCAACTGAAAGCAATGTTTGATCCAAAACGATTAATAGCTACGATTGTGATGTTGGTAAATATACTATCTTTCTTTCCTTTTATTAAAAAGTTTTCCTTTAGCCTCAAAGCTGAATTTGATGCTTTTCTAAAGGGAGGTTATTACTCAGTCTGCCTCTTCCTTCTGCTGAGAAATTACAGTCAAGCTGTTAAACTCTGTATGTCACAAAGATCATCTAGCTCCTTTCTATGAACATGTGTGGGTTTTTTGTTTATATTTTTTTAATTAATCATTTGGAGTAAACTGTTCCATATGAAATCTTTCTTAGTAAATGCTAATGGCAGGTTAATTATTTTTAATTTATTTTCTAAAATACTTTCTTCAAGAACAAGGGGAGAGATTTTTTTAGCTACTGTGGAAAGTCAGTGGCCACCAAGTGTAGCTTCACAGTTGTTTTTTGGCTGCAGTTTGGTCTGTAAAGTTCAGTGATTCAGCACTTTTGAAGCAATGGAGAAAATTAATTTATTTCCACAAAGTCTGGGAGGCCACACGTTCAGCTTTGAGATTCTCCATTGTGACATCCCTGGCTCCTTTGCTTCCACAACCATCATTTCTTCTTCCTGGAGGATGGAAAAACCTTCTCCCCAGTATCAAAATTCGTATCCCAAAGCTCCGTACTAGGTAGTTAAAACAACTTTCTCCCCTTGCTGCTTCTCTGTTTAATACTTTTCTGTCTTGCTCCTACTGAGTTGTTTCAACTTTGATTTTTGAAATGTAGTTGGCTTTCCTATTCTCTCTAACATATAACTTGTTTTTCTAGTTTAGTGAGTAAGAAAGTCTTCATAAATTCTTTCTGGATGGCTGTCTTATGGAGGCTGCATGTTCTTCCTCTCGCACACCCACATACAAAAATAGTTATAATCTCTTTTGAGAAGCTTACATTTGCCCCTGTCTTTTGGGGAAGGCACTTGATTATTGCTTGGACTCCAAACTTTGTTCAGCAGAGTTTTTTTTGTTTTGTTTTTTTTTGTTGTTGTTGTTGGTTTTTTGGGGTGTTTGTTTGTTTTTTTGTTGTTGTTGTTGTTTTTGGGGTTTTTTTTGTTTTGTTTGGTTTTTTTGGTTTTTTTTTTTTGTTTTTTGGGGGTGTTTTTTTTTGTTTGTTTTGTTTTGTTTGTGTTCTTGTTTTGTTCTGTCACTATTTTCAACTCATACCAAGTTACAAGTCCTAGAAAGGTTACGTTTTATAGGCATGAATTAAAAATGTCCAATAATATCTCCAGTTCTCCTAGAGTCTATATTTGATGAGCATAAATTCTCCTACACCTTACAGCTGTGGACTTTTTCCAATGAAACTGAGAGCCTAAGCCAGACACTTAAAACAGCAGGCACAAAAATCATTTTGCTCTGATGATCCTGTCATCCACTGTGCTCAGACATGGTGACAAAGAGAATAATTCGCTTTGAAGGCTGTAAAAACAAAATATCAGGGAAATGGAAAGAGAACAGAGAGCAGAGCACATATCATAGACCTACCTGTGCAGAGAGGCTACCAGCAAAGTTGGGAAAATGAGAATGAAAGGTTTCATCTAATAGTGAACATGAACATTGGATGAGAGCCAAGACTTTTAGTATGGCAATTTCAGTAAAACACAGAAGAATTGGTAAATTTAAAGTTTTGAAAACTTTGGATGAATTTGACTGTTTTAATCCCCATCCTAACAAAGCTAGAATTGTAGGCAGTTCAGGAGTCACAAACATGTTTGCAAAATTTCAAGAGTGTGTTACTTTTCTTCCTTTTAATAAAATGACAACACATTTTCTTTCAAATTAAAATTGATATGTGGTTTTGTTCTGTTTTCTACTATGTGTAATGAAAAATGGAGGAAGCCAGGTAAGATCTAGTGGAAAAGTTCTAAGTGATGATTAGGCTTTCACAAATGGTGTGATTATTTGTTGCTACATTCCATCTAAAGTGTTTTAAAGTACCTAGAACAAAGCTTCATGTGAGCTTTTTCACTGTACCTGAGGCAGCTGCTCTCTAGTAGACTCTTCATTAGTGTTTAAAGATGAAAAAGCACTGGCAAATGAGGCATAGCCTGTATTTACCAGATCCTGTAATTGAGAATGGATGTTTTTAATAAGGGTTGTTTGTAGCGATGCACGCATCTTTCTTGTCAGAGACAGGTTTTATGAATACCAGGTTCAAAATGAGAGTATGTACTGGAATAAGAGAGTAACAGTTACCAGACTTCTTGATTCCTTTCAGTAAAGCTTTATCATTTAAGCCCACCTCTGAATAGAACCAACAAATAAGGGTGCACACGTCAGCTTATACTCTTGCTGGTTCCTCAAGTCAACTCCTGCCTTGTCTTCCTTTCAAGACTTGTCCTAGCCCTTCTGGCCATTCATACCTCATATGTGCTTCATACTGTGCTTTGAAAAACACCATGGAGTTCATCATATAGTCACTGTGAGACAGCCTTTGGCTCTGCTTGTTTCATAAGTCAATTTTGAAGTGCTGATTGCCCATTGAAAACATGGAAATGGTCACTGTACTTGCATCATTGTGTATTTGAGTATTCATTCTTTTTTTTCTTTGTCTCTCCTTCTCACCCCAGCTTTGCCTAATCTTGACTCTGTGTGCTGTATTCTGGGTAAGTGAGAATGCTTTTTAGAAAAAAAGTAATCTCAGTTGGTTAGTTTATTAATTGTATTGTAGCTTTAAGATACAGTTCAGTGGTGAAGGAAAGGTGAACTCATTGTGGTGTTTTTGTTGTTTGCTGCAGTTGAGCTCAGGTGAAGTGATAAGCCTGCTGGCTATAAAAAGCAAATGCAGCCTTCCCTCCTGCATGTGATGGAGATGAGAATGCATCGGGTTCAGTCTGCAGACCTCTAGAATAAAAACTAAGAAAGCCAAGTTCAAATATTGTTTTGTCTCAGTGATGCATACTTATGTCAGAAAATACCAGAGTGTATAGCCATCTTCAGAAGCCATGGATACAGAATTTAAGCTGTTTAAGACAACAGAAAAAAACCCAGAAGTATCTTCAGGCATCTTGGTTGAAAACTAACTGTAGTTCCATTCCATAGAAGTAAATATGTCACTGGAATGGACTTCCATATTTGCAGAAGTACAGTGACATGAGTGAGTGTTAACACTGATGTTGTTAGGTGTTTCCAAATCTAGAAAAGGTTTACATAGCATGTTGCTGATGCAGTGATGGATAAAATGAATGGAGAGTTGTTGGGAAAGAAACAGCAAAGACAAGGAAATTTAGGCATTGTCAGTCAACTCTATTCTTGATTGATCAGTCTGTGCCAATTGTTTGCAGTACAGACTGGTATGAAAATTGAACTAATTTGCAGTATTTGCTTTATTTTTGTTTAGTGGAACAAAAAAGGTTTGGCAATGTTATTCTGCATATTGCAGTTCTTGGCAATGACCTGGTAAGATTCTTAAAATTCCTTTTAATTTCTTCTCCCTGCCCCTACACCCTTATGATCAGAAACCTGTCATATATATATGATTCACATATAAGTGTGCCCAAATGCTAGTCTCAATCTGTTTTTTCTCAGCTAGGTTGTGTAACTCCAGCAAAATCTATATTCAATCGTCTTGCAAAAATGGTAATTTGAAGTATATTCTGCAATGTGTGAACTTATCTGAAGCCTTATGAAAGGAATATGTATGCAAAAAAAAATGTCATGCTTTTGCTGTGTTGTAAAAGTATACTCTCCTCTTTTTTGAATTCTAACTAGTTTTGATTTTTGAAGTGAAAGAAACTAAAAAACATTTTTATAGGGTACATCCTATGAAATAGCCCCAGGAATATACTGGGTAAAGAGTGGGTGGATGTGTGAGGGTGAATTCAGTGCAGCCTGTGATGACCAGGAGCTCTGGATTTGGCAGTGTGTGAGAGCAGGCAGGTAAATACTTGCAAGCCTGGCAGAAGTTCTGGAAGTTACTGCCTTTTCCATGGAGATACACACATGGTGTCATTGTCCCAGGTGAATGACTTGGTGTCCTTATCCCAGGTGCTCACTCTCAGGCAACCCAAGGTGACCACAGTTCTCTCTTGAACTTGCCCTGAATACACAAAGTATGTACTGAACGTGGATCTGAGGACAAGAAACCATTTGTTCAGGACAGGGACTGTTGGGCATGGTGCTAGATAGAGGCAAGGCCACTAGCTCAGTCTGTGCTCTGTGTGTTTGCAGCAGACAGTTCACATTTGTTAAGCATCCTGGGGTTTGATCAGGCTGGGCATGAGAACAGAACACTGCCTGGAAGCTTGTGAGAAGCAAGTTTCAGAGAATAATAGAATTGTCAGCTGTCTGAGTGTCGCAGTTGTGGAATATTATTCATCCTACAGCATATATCTGTATTTAGTTACGTAAATAATATGATTAGCTGTATATTTGCATAGAAATTTAGATTGTCTTTTAAAGTGGAAAAAGTTGTCTCTATCATCTTGAGTACCATTTTCACACAAATCTCTATTCCTTTTGGATTAGGCAATAGCAAATCTGTTTTTTAAGTTCATGTGCAATAGAAGTTATGAACTACATTAAAAAAAGGAAAAAAAATCAAACAAAGAAAAAGTAAACTACCAAATCTGTGTCACTGTTTAGTTCTTGTCCAAACATGTCCTCTTTTCTCAGGTAAACATTAAATTGAATAGGTAATCTTGTTTAAAATTTTGTTGCAATGGTTGCTTTTATTAATGCTGGCCTAAAGTGAAATAATTTGGTTCTAGGAGAGACATGAACACTCTGCAAATATACTTTTTTCCTCTTTTTTTTCAGGTACAGTCTGTCTTATATTCCTTTTGCAAGGTGAGTCTGCATAATAATTTCCATCTTAACAGAAGTCAGTTACTTTTACACTGGGGAAAGGCATAAAGTACTTCATGTGTGTGGAAAAAATATAACATCCTTCTTTTTCTTTTAATTTGTAGAAAATGGCATAGCTGAACTTAAAACTCATGCTTAATATAAGCTTTAAGTAGAAGTACAATACATAGTAATTCTCTTTAATACATTTCTTTCTAGTTTCCACCACTGAAAATGAATCAAGGTTTTGTTTAAATATTGTCTGTAATGACTTAACAATACAATGATGCAATAGTGACTTTTCTGGTCCTAAAATTAAAGGTAGCTTATGGATCTGAGATCCTAGGTAAAAGCAAACAAGCAACATAGTGGCAGCTTCTGTTTCTGTGTCTGAATTCCTCCATCATTTTTAGGAGGGATAAAGGCAACGCTTTATCATTTTCATTTTGGCAAGCTCCTCTCTTTTGTTTCATTCTTGTGTACAAAAAGGGAATGAAAGCAGACCAAACACACAGTGAAAACACATGCAAGTAATCAAATGTAAGAATCTGTTTTTTCTATGATTCATGGAAAATGCAGTTTTGTCTTCCTGACAGTGGGTTTTTTAAATAAATTAAGCACTTCTGTATCAGTTAATGAGGTTTGCTGTAGTATAGGTGTGGGGGAAAAGAATACAAAGTATCATCTATCCCTTTCATCTGGTATTTTCCCGTAGCATCACAAAAAAAAATCTGATTTTTAAAGCTTCAGATTTCATCTAGGAAGGATTTTTTTAAGATAGTTGTTGATAATTACAATGAATAAAATAACTGAGCTGAGGCTTCAAACTGTCATTTTACTATTTCTGACATCTCAGACTAACCCAGACAAAAGTATCATTCTGAATTCTTATAGATTCAGTGGCCATGGACCAGGTCTCAGTAGGTTCATTCCTTTTCTTTTTTTGGTCTTTTTTCGTGGTTTCTCTGTAGAGGAAGTAAGTTGAGCTTCTGGTTTCTCTGACTTTTTCTTCCCTATCAACAGTACTTCCAAGTTCTGGGCAGAAAAGCATTAGGTTATATGCATCAGTTAACTTCTTTGGGTTTATTTATCTAATAGATTTTATGAGCCAAAGAACTGAATTTTATATGGACTGCTTTTAGTAATACTGTGATTTCTTTAGGGATTACTGAATTATTTACTTATGTGGAGTGGTGTGATAGATTTGTTGTATAGACTGCCTTTCTTATGGGAACAATGATCTAAACCATGCTCAGTGCCAGAGAATGGTATTATGTCATTTGTTTAAAGTATGCATTTCTATTGATTTCATTAAATTATCATTCCTTGGTTTAACTCTTTTCATGGTTTGCTCTTCAGAACATTTTACTTGTTCACGGGTTTGTTGGGGTGGGGGTTGTTGGTTTCTGTTTGTTTCTTCCTAAATTAATGGTAGCTCTCCCGTTGGCCTGGCAACAAAAAGCCCCACTTTTGGGAACCAGTCCCAAATGGAAACAATAACAAATGCAACAAAACCAAAACCCAAGCAGCTAAGTGACTTTAAGGAGTGATGATAGTATGTTTCTTTATTTTTTGCAACTGACTAGCAACAGAATACAAATTCCACTCCTTAGTAAGTTGGTTGCTTTTCTGGGAAAAGGAAAAATAATGGAGACTACAGGGAATGATCTGAGTGTAACAGTCAGAAAACAGTTTATTGTTGATTAAAAAAACTGAACACTCCAGAACTTCCAAACCTTAAGGCTGAACCAGCTCTCTCCATCCTGCACTGTCAGTGCACACTTCCAACCCTTCAGCCTGTGCTTTATTTCCTACACTGTGATGGTCCAGCTCTGATGTGGCTTGGAGCCCTGGCAGCTGTGCCTTGCTGGAGACTGGGCGCTCCTCAGCTGAGCCCTTGCTGGGCAGCCTTTGTGAAATCGGGCTCTGCACTTTGCTCAGCTTCCCAGTGTGCTGCAGAGCACTTCCTAATGCTGTGTTTGCATTTCAGCATGGCCCACAATGCAAACAGCATGGAATCCCTGGCAGTGACCTGGCCTGAGCCTGGGCTTTAGCTGGGTTGGTGGAGGCACACAGATCTTGCATTTGATCAAGATATGTCTTTAGTTTCTGCCATATTTGTAACTGTAAATAGATAATGGTTCAGATATTTAGAAACAAAATAACAAATCTTAACTGACTTTTTTTTTCCTTTTTTTTTTAAGGGATGCTGTGATTAAATGCTTCTCATCCTGTCTAGGGTAAATTAAAAGCACCACTGTCCAGTTTAAAAGGCAACTTTTTCCTCTGTAAATTTTGCTCAAAAAACTCTACTTTGCCGCTTCTGAAATACCCAGTAGCAGTTTAGTATTTTCCTTGCCTTTTGCACTTGAGAGATTAAATAGTTTTTGCTAGAAACAGTTTTTAAAATAAATTTGGAGAATTATTTGTGTTTACCCTGGAACTTCCAGGCTTTTTTCTAACAAGAAAGTACATTTAAATACTTCATACAGAGTAGTCTTAACACTACTTTGTATCCAGTAACAGTTTATTCCTCAGTGGAGGCAAGTCACTAAGACCTGGGTAGTATGCATAAAGGTTTCATTTACAGTTCTGTCTAAAATTTGCAATGTGCCATTTATGTTTGTATATTATCCATTGTATGCTCTTCCAAAGACACAGTTTTATAAACATTGTAAAGATTTGGAAGGTTGTAATTGCTCCTTTGAAATGTCTATACATGTGCTTTATGGCAAAAACTTAATGAGAATGTGAAAGATATTTTTAAAACCTGTTGGATTTTATTAAAAAAGTTGTATTTTAAATGTTTATTTTTTTTAAAACTTTCATACCTAAATACTTTTTACTAAAAGAACTTACGGCTAATGTATAAATGGGACTTGTGAAATAAATTCATTTTAAAAGTGCCTAATACATTTTTTATTTAGGAATCAGCTATAGAGGGCTGAAAATTTCAACATTACAATTGAAAAAAAATGAAAGCATAAAAGTGTGTATATGACTATATACAAATTTGTTGCAGAAGTGACCCTAAAGGTTATTTTAGTATTTAGACAAACTGCTCGCTCTGACTTAATCTAGTAATAGATTGAAGTACTCCAACACTTTGCCTGGCTCCAGTAAGAGGTTCTCATTTCTAATTTTTTCAGCTAAGAACTATCCAGTAATTCTGGAGCAAAGTTAAATCTTTAATGTTTGGTTGATATTATATTGCAGGAGGTTCTTTTTCACACAGGATGGATATGCTTACATATGTGTGTTCTAAACTAAGTTGGCTTAGATTTTTTTTTCTCTTCATCCACAAATCTAGAAGAAGGAATGGCTTTGAAAAGATGTGATCTGCAGCATCAGGAAGGGGAAAATCTCAGTGTTTTTAGTATTCAGAGTTCAGGCTAAAGAGACAATTTGAGGTACAGTATGTTCCTGTTAAATCTCAGTGCATATTGCAAAACATAGCAACAACTTTTGGGGAAGCTGTGTACAGGGTGATTGCATTATTTTGCAGCTAGACTTCCAACTAAGCCATGCCTTTTAACTGGTTAGTAACAATAAATTCCAGGAAGGCATTCTCTCTGCTGGTGATTGGCAGGGAGCAGGTAGTCCTGGCCTCGCAGCAGGCTCTTGGGCTCGCTAGTGCTGTATGATGGAGACACAGCTATTCCAAGTCTGCCCACAGCCCTTGGGTGCCAAGGCACCTTGGGGTGAAGTTTTGTTTCCTTTCAGTTTTCAGCTTGCAGTGAAGAGGAAGTAGGATATGCGTAGACAGTGATGAGCATCACCCTGGAAGTGACTACCCCTTCCCCAGTCGTTGCTGTTGACCTCAGCTGACTGGAAAGATCCCGTCTCATCCCATCCCTAGTGCGTCAGGGCCAGGCTTTCATTTGCTCCAAAGGTGGTTTTACCCATCACCCACCTGTTCTGGTGGTACACAATCACCTTCACTGTAGTCTTTAATTAGAATTACATTGGTTATTCAAAATTTATTTATTTATCTATTTATCTAGTGTGGTAAATGACAAAGTTACCTTTCATCTGTTAACACTTAGATCACCAGGAGAGAATTCAAGAACCAAAAGTTCCATGTATTGGTATGCTTCCATATGCACTTTGGTCTGTTAGTTACATCATGTGCCTTCCTTGTTTTTTTTCTCTCCTGAACATTTCAGAGTTTACGTCCTCTATGTCCATACAGAGCACACACTCTGCGTTGTTTTGCCTCTGTCTGTTACTCCTTCGCATCCTGTCTTTGTTTACTGTGTATGAGTATTCCAAGAGCTCACAGTTGGGAAATCTTCACAGTATAGTAATACCCATTATGACAGTGTGGAACCAAAGGTGTGAAGATCTGTCCCTGTGGATTGCATACATGCTACTCATTTTTTGATAAAGTTTTGGTACCCTAATTAAAACAGTACTTTGAAGTAAATGCTGTAGAAATTATAAGCCATGACTTCTAAGGCTAAATTGTGGAGTGATGGTAATCATTTTGTAGCCATAGGAACTATATGTTTACTTATTACTCCACCATGAAACTCCTCCTAACCTCTGTTGTTGAAAAGATGGGAAATTGCTGTCTTGGATATCACAAAAAGCCACACCAAACCCTAAACAAACAACAAACCTCCAATGGGGGTATGAGCATTAGCTCTGTGACAGAGGGCATTGATCTCTGGACTGTACTCTTCATTACCAAACCAGGCAGTACTTGTCCACTAAGTCCGAGTCTGCCAGCCCTAGGTCTGAGTGTCTCTTGGCCTGTCTGCCTGCCCTTATTCATGGTAATTCAAGTCATCAAGGAGCTCAAAGTATCATTCTTGTTTTTAAGACGGCAAGATAATTTAACATTTTAAAATATTGCCTTTTCACACTTGGACGCTTGAGGACTTCGGGAGGAATTTAGAGCCTTTTTGCTCTCGGGGCGTGAGCCCCGTCATTCTCTTTTTAGTTCGGCTCTGCTGTAGGGCGGGCGGGAGAGGACCGGGAAAAGACGCCGGAGTAGCGCCGCATCGAGCCCGACTTGTACGGCTCGTTCGGGAGCGCGGCCAGTACTGGCATGACCCCCGTCCCCACCCGCACGCCCACCCCGCGCTGGGGAAGGGTGTTCCCGGGGCGGGCGAAGGGCGGGAAGGGGGACGGGTTATCGAGAGGGAAAATCGGCTGCTGTCGGGGCAGAGCGAGCTCGCATTCCGCGCCGGCGGTTCGGGCTCCTCGTTCGCCTCCGGCCATGGGGCTGCAGCCGCGGCGCGCCGTGGGGCCCTGCCCGCCCGCGGGAAGAAGCGCCGCCTTGCCCGGAGCGCGATCCACTCCTCCCTGGGCGCGCAGCGACGAGCCGGAGGGAACTACCGGGCGCCACGCCACGATGCCGCTCCTCCTGCCGGCCATCCTGCCGACCCCCTCCGCTTCCCCCGCTGCCGCCCGGGCGCAGCCCAAGAAGCCGCAGGCGGCCGCCTCGGCCCCCAAGAAGGCAGCGCCTCGGCCGGCAGAGGAGAAGGTGGCGAGGAAGGCGCCAGGGGAGCCTCCGGAGCGGCCGGGACCCCTCTCCAGCTCCTGGCCCTGCTCGTCTCTGCAGCGGCCGCCGCCGCGGAGACTCCCGGCCGAGCGGGCGGCGCGGCCCCAGCCCACCCCGCCGCAGCCGCGGGGCCGCCCGGGGGTGCCGGGGGCGGGCAGCCGCTCATGCGAGAGCCTCGGCGGGGCACCGGGGGAGGCGGCGGGGCACTTCTCGCTGAGCCTGCCTCCGGAGGCCATCCGGGTACTGCAGCGCCGCAGCCTGGAGCGGCACCGGGGGCAGCCCGCACCCTCTCCCGCAGGCAGAACCGCCTCGGCCCGGCGCGGCGACCTGCGCGCTCTGCTGAAGGTTTCCCTGCTCAACGACCGGCACCGCTACGACGACGAGGAATACGAGGAGGAGGAGGCGGGGACCGCGGCGGACGAGGGGCTGGTGCGGAAATGCACCGAGTGGCTGCGTGGTGTGGAGAGTGCGGCCGGCCGCGACCACCCCGAACGGCTGGAGACGCTGCCGCACTTGGGCACCCCCTGAGCCCCGCCGGGACCTGGGAGCGGCACGGCGGCGGCTGTCGGAGCGGTCGCGCCGGGGGGAGGTGGGGCCACGATCCGCGATGTCGTGTTCCGTGCGATGTTGTCGGCGCCCTGGCAGCCCGGGCGGGCGGCGGCAGGAGCCGGGCAGCGGAGCCGCTGGCCCGGAGCCGATCCTCGGGCCGCCTCCGCCGCCGGGGCGAGGGACAAAGGAGCGGCTCCGGCCTCCGCCCGCTGGTGCCCCGGTGCTGGGAGGGAGGGCACTGACTGTGGGCGTCCTGCCTCCATCCTCGCGGTTTTTTTAAAGATTTCTGACTACTTTATAAAATGTGCGTAATGGTTTTGTATATTTGTACATAAAAGTTCATTTTTATTTATTTGAATAAAAGAATCTTGTGTTGCGGTAGCCTTCGCGCCTTGGTAGCTTCGCGTTGGGTTGTCCCATCCTGGCGGTATCCGCTGTCTCAGTGTCCATACGGTAAGGATGGCGGGCTGGTCCCCGTGCGGAGAGCCTGTGCCGTTCACACGTTTGTTCCTCGGAATAGTCGCCGACAGTTCGGCTCCAGGGAAAATGCGCAGCCGCGGGTTCGGCGAGGCGGCCGAGGCAGGGGATCGAGCAGGCGGGGACGAGCCCGTCGCTGCTGGGGGCAGATGGCAGCAGTGCCGACCACCGCGCCGGCGGGGAGCAGTCCTCCCGGGGAGAGGCAGGAACAGCGGGAGGAAGATGGGGTGGTGCGGGGGCTGCGGCGTGGGCAGAGGTTGCTCCGGTTCCGTCGGCGAGCCGGAGAGGAGCGGCTGGGTTTGTGCATGGACTTGGCGATTTCATCCCCTCCCAGGCAGTAATTCAGAAGGAAGGAAGGAAGGAAGGAAGGAAGGAAGGAAGGAAGGAAGGATTGTCGTTTGTCAACGTTTCCTGGCTTCCTATCTCTGCAGCCTTCCCCTCTCTAGGCTATGGCCATGCCTGGTGCTCTTCCGAGCTTTGTGTGTTGGAAGAAGCAAAGAGGGGGCTGGGAGGCTAAGTGTACCGAAATTACGGGCGGAAAGGGAAGGGCTTTACCAGGCTTACAGTGTCTTGGCCACCTACTGTTGCTCTTATATTGTTGTTATCCAGCTTCCCAGAACAAGAGTCAGACCTAAACATTTACTGTGATTCAATAAGTGTTTTGCAAATGAATGTTTGAATATGTAGGAACACATTCAGCTGAATTTACTTAGTGAGTAAAACAAAGTTTAGTGCCACAAACTGGGTATTATAAATTTCACTAAGACATCAGTTGTTTACACCAAATGATGTCTGTGTTGACTTCCATTAAATTACGTGAGATAAACCCTTCTGTATATTAATTACACGATGTAGCCATGTGCTGCATTTTGTTTGGCTCCATGTTTGTTCAAGTACCTTTTTTTTTCCACCTGAAACTTAAGGAATGACTGGGGAAATGGTTTGGGAAAATAAATATTTATTAAATGCATTGATACTGCCAAAAAAAAAAAACCCCAAAAAAAAAAACCCACAAAAAAATAACAAAAAAACCCCCCAAAAAACAAACCAGTATAAGGCAATTGTGAAATGGCTATGCTCAAAGGCCAGAGACAAAAGCAAGGGGCATGAAAATTTCTGGAGATTATATCTATTTTATTTAAGCAAATGTAGAGTCATTTGTAGTGATAGCTATGAAACACATGCATTTTTCTTAACATTTTACCTGAGTTTGCATGTAGTTCTGTCATATTACCAATTTTCATAAACATCTTCAAGTCAATCTGCCTCAACAACTCAAAATTTCCTGCCAAATTTAATACATGCTGGATTGATGTCAGAAGCACCTTTTGTTGTTGTTTTTCCCTCTTCTAACAATGGAAATGCTAGTAG